TTTTTCAACTTTTCCTGGAATTGGAAAGTATTTACATAATACATAATACAGCAGCAAGGCCTGACAGGCCTGAGTGTGCCCGTGAAACCCTTACAAATTTCCAAGTCTTTAAGTCTGTCCAAGTCTGAAGTCCAGACATCAGAACCATTTAAAGCTGTTCACCAGAAGCTAATACACAAGTAACTAGAACCTGTTACGTCTTATGCACAGACTGGTTGAAAATGGATGCAGCATTGTTCAGGAAAATACGATACAAATGGAGTCAATTTGATGGGACAGTTCATGTTTGTCACATCAAATGTTCTAGAGACGGGAGACTCTCCCCCCGCCACCGACACCTAACTCCATTCTCGATTGTAGTCTCCATGAAGTCGTGCCCATAACATTGGTCTTACAGTTCAGCAATCGCAGCTCTCCTTTACTGTTTATATAAATAATCCTTGCATTTAGGATAGCGCCTTTCACGTCAGAAAGACGTCTCAAAGCACTTCACAGGATATACTGTAAAGTGTAGTGACTGTGTGTTGGAAGGCGAAAATGGTATAGTGTTTAATGGGATGCTGGCTTTTTATTAAAAAAAAGGATGAGGCCTCAGCTCCGACCTGAGATGGCCTCGGAGCTGACGTGCTGTGATTCTGGTGGTACATAGATATGATCTCCTTTAGTTCAAGCAGTTTACACGACAAGGTGCTGTCCCTGTTCATTAGCACAACCAGTTTTGTAAAGTGCACGTTTTGGCCCAAAATCACTTAAACAGAGTTAACTGTACCTGTTAAAACGGTTATGGATACCTAAATCTTGAGTTACACAATATGTAACGTAGCAGCGTTCAGATAGTCTAAAGTTCTGAGGACTGTAATTACGTTGCTGTCATCACAATTGCAATCCCAGAGGCATGGCAAAGCTAACAGTTTCCAGCTGTGCACTCTTTGGATAAATTTTCCACACCAGCTTCTTACATAACCTGTGATCAGTATAGCTGAAAGTCCCAGATGTGCTATTCATTTAACCATCAGAGACCTCAGCTTGGCCCAGCCCTGTCACTGCAATGTGGCAAACTGGTTAAAAGTCAGACGAGCAGCCTCGTAACAGACTGGAAGTATTGGCAACATCAAGCATCGTTCACAGGCAAACTGTCAAGACTGAGCACATGACATGTTTTCTTACACAATATTTTATATTGTTTCAAGTTTCGCTGGCGGTGTGTCAGGGTTAGATACCAGGGGGATTCTGTGCTTTATAAATAGACCTGGTGAAACATTTAATGCGGACAAACAGATCGGATGTCTGTGTCATTTGCAGCATGTGACCGGGTGAGTGAGGAAGAGCAGGAGAATTTTTCTGGAACTATTCAGAGCAAAGTGGAAAAACTGAGCCAGTTGGTTTGTGGATTGATATTTTTTGTATCAAATTCAATGCGTTTCCTTGTGGAAAACCTATTAAAGTGTGTAAAAAGGAAATTGGGCATTTTTAATGAATATTTTAGATGCTAACAGGGTTGATCATGGACATGGGATCGGTAAATGTATAAAATAGTCTTTCCCGCAGCAGTTTTAGGAAGAGAGCAACTTTATGTGAGCAGACCGACCGTTGGTAATATTCCAGAAGGTGAGCAATTGTTTTTAAATATGGAAATGAAATCATGTTTGTTATGTGAATTAAAAATGCCATATTTAGTGAATTGTAAAACATCTTGTCTGTGCTTAGTCCTTCCCAAATTCTCACAGGAACAGCAACTAGCAGCATGTGTTCATTCTGTGGAGCAAACACCAAAGTATGTGCATGGAGTAATAAAATGAGGCTTTTTTATTAAATAAAAGAAGAAAAACACACACAGAGCGATGTTATTTCTTTTGGGTTTTGAGGACTTTTGTTGAAATGAGAGCATTTCCTTTTGCAGAATTGGATGCTGCGTTTCATCCGCAAAATATACAGTCAACTCACTTGACAGTATAATATTCCTTGCATTTGTTATAGCGCTTTTCATGCCTACTAGACGTCTCAAAGCACTTCACAGAATATATTGTTAAGTGAATTGACTGTATAGTTGTGGACAAAACGCAGCAGCCAATGGTGTACAGCAGTGTCCCACAAATAATCGTGGATTGAAGTGACCAATTTATTATTGTTTCTTTTTCTTGAAGGATTATTATCAGGCGTATGGAGTAAAGAAACTTTCTCAAGGTTTCACCCTGCTGGGAATCGAACCCAGGTCTCTCGCTTGCGAGGCGAGTTCTCTAACTACTGAGCTACAGGACTCCACGGTATTCTGCGAAGCACTTTAAGACATCTCAACAATGTGATGAGACTCTATACCAAATGCAATGATTATTATTATTATTTTTAAAACAAAAGTTGGCCTAGCAAATGGCATTTTTTAAATATCTTTCAGACCTCCTTTTTGAAAGTTTTGAAAAAAGTAAAAAAGTGGTGACTGAAGTCATTCGCCCACAAAACACACAGTCACTGCACTTTACAGTAAATCCTGTGAAGCATTTTCGGATATCCTACCAATGTGAAAGGTGCTATACTATACTAAGCTATACTATTATCATTTTATTTCTGGCAGAGATCTTATTTTGGAAAATGTATGGACGGTGACATTGATCTTCAGAAAAAAGGTCAGAGTCAAAACAAGTTTTAACAACATTTAGGTTTGGGTTGATGCTTATCAGACATGAAAACAAACAGGAATAAAACATTCAAAATTAATACCACCATATTCATTGAGGTGTCAGCCTGGCTCAGTTGGTAGCACTCTCACCCATGTGTCAAAAGATTGGGGGGTCTCAAGCCCTATATCAGGAATTTCAATTCATGGATAAAATAGAAAATACTGCAGATGCTGGAAATCTGAAACAAAAACAGAAGTCACTGGGAACACTCAGCAGGTCAGGCAACATCTATGGAAAAAGGAATGTGAGTCAACGTTTCGGGTCTGTGACCCTTCATCAGAACATCAGTTATAAAGAATAAACAAAGGCACACTGTTCTATCTCTAACTTGATTTATTTAACAAATATCAATCTAATTCCCTCTTGAAATTACTCACACAATTTGTCTATACTGTCTTCCCACACAGTCTATTCTACATTTCACCATTATCTGAGTAAAGTAATTATCTAATCTGTATGTTCACCTTCTCTCTTTGAGTTTAACTTGGTATTCTTGTGCTTGTAATTTTAGTATTAATAATAATCCTTGCATTTGATATAACGACTTTCACGTCAGGAGGATCTCAAAACGCTTCACATGGTCCAATGTAAAGTATAGTGCATTTCGTAGGTGGACTTTCTGATAATATTAAATATACAATAATATTTGATATAGCACTTTATCATGTCATTGTGACGTCTCAAAGCACTTCACAGAATATACTGTAACGTGAATTGACTGTATATCTTGTGGGCAAAACAAAGCAGCCAATTGCACAACAGCACACAAACAGGTGTGGGTTGAGTGATTAAATCATTATTCATTTTTTTTAAAGGGATTGTTACTTCTGGAGAGCGATCTGCCAATTGACTAACAACCAGGTTCCTACTTACTGCTAGGTAAACAGAGGCATGTGGACTAAAGAAACTTGCCCGCGAATTGAACCCGGGTCCTCTTGCTTGCGAGGCGAGTGCTTTAACCAATTCGCTACAGGACTTACCACTGGTCTCTTTACTCTGAATAAGTCCACACTGAATGTCATTCTCCATGTGAGCCAAAGTACAAATCTATCCAGATCCCTTTCTATTTGATTAGTGTGTTTCCTGGTATTTGAACTTTCCACCTGGTTTGGTATCATCAAAAATAGATAGTTTGGCTTCCACCTCCTCTTCCACATAATTTATGTACAGTGTGTATAGTATTAGCTAATGCATGAATCCCTGATGGACCTCAATAGTTACCTTCCTCCATGCTGATGCAGCACCATGAACAACCGCCCACTGCTTCTTATGATCTAGGCAATTTCTGATCCACTTCAGAAGCTCCTTCATGATCAACTCCAGATGCATATGTAGACATTACAAAGAGCAACTGTGATTGTGTCTGGGAGTAATTAATACAAGCAATTTTGCACCTTCAACATGAGTTACAACAAAGCAAAAGCTGTGTATTATACAGTATATATATGAAATGCACTAAAAAAAAACTTTTTTTCATGATGTCATTCATTTTCCAGGCTTGCAGGTCCAGTAATAATATATGAGCAAGCGTTTAAAAGCATTGTATGTTCATTGGAGTTTGATTTGTATTGCACTTTGAGAAAATAATTCAGTCAACCAACTACAAAAGGGAACGTTTACAATATATTAGTGTTTACTGTTAAAACGTAGCTGGCTAAATAAGTTTCTATAGCCAGTTTTTAGGTTTAATTTGCATCTATGTACACCAAAAAGATAAAGAGAAAGCTACATGGGCTGAATGGCTTATATGTGAACCACTTCGAAAGGACTGAAGAGAAAACTGTGATAAAATACATATAATTACATTAGTTAGAAATGTCAGCATGGCTCAGTTAATAATGCTCTTACCTTTGTATCAATAATCTACAGATTTAAGTACAATGTTTGGATGTTGACTTCACAGACTGGGGGAGTACTGTGGGAGTCCTGCAGTGTTGGAGGTGCCGTCACTTAAAATGCGATGCCAAACAGAGTCTTGCCTGCCTGTTCAGGTGAACCGGTAAAGATCCTGTAGCACTATTTGAAGTGAGAAAGGAGTATCTCATTGTTCTGACCAACAATCCTCCAGATTGATAGGTCATTCACTTCATTGATGTTTGTGGAACATTGGCTGCTGTGTATGCCTACAATTTCACAGTCACTACACCTATTTAGCGTTTTTTTACATTATATTCGCTATATCAAATGCAGGTATTATTATTATAAAAATACTTTTTGCTAACAAAATGTGCACATGACACAAATGGTCCAGTAGCAAAACAAATGCAAAGGTTACTGACTCAATCTTTCAAGTAGTTTTAAAAAAGCGTTGAAAAAAATGTCACGTTACGATCAAGGCAATAAGCTTTATTCCATTTAATTTTATTGCACATCCACAGGACTCTACGAACTACGAACTAAAGAGAATCACTCCACAAACAGGTTTTAAAATGACAGTTTTATGAAAATTACATTAGAGAATTATAAACAGGTTACAGACCATTTGAACTTTGCCAGATGTTTTGAATGAAGACAATGGATAGTGAACAAAATCTGCTTTTTCAAACAAAAATCTTTTTTGGCAAAGAAAATGGGTTCATCTGCTAGCCACATGTGGGAATCTTTATATTATCGACAGTGAGAAAGAGAGATCCTGTTGGCTCAGGCCTAGCGTGGCAAGATTTCATCCATGTCAGCGACAACATAAGAGACAACAGTCCAAACTGCTGCACACAGCTTCATCTGAACAGGATCCTGAACTGTCATTGTATCTGCATCCGTGTGGTGAAACCAAAAGTACTTGCTTGTGTCAACAAGCAGAGCAGCCCCTGTGAACAGCAGCAGAATTAGCATTAGGTATGTAAGCATTCCCTGGTCCTACTTAGAAAGAGCGCACTCGCCTCTGTTCTGGCATGTAACATTTCAAGCTGAATCTAATGCCGCTTTTTAGCTGAGTCTAATGCTGCTTCTTCACTTCACCATCTGTGCTGCTCAAAATCTGAACCCTAATCCTAATGAATTTCCAGCATGGACTCAGTCACATTTCACATTCAGCTGAGACATGATTTTGGATCACGTGAGCGTGATAACCCCAGCATTTGATTTAACTCTTTCATTGTATAAATTTGCCTTTTTTTAATATAAAAAAGGACAATTCTTTGCACAGTAGCAGTTCAATATGATAAGGAGAATGTAGGGACAATGTGTTGAAATTATTCTAACCTGATAGTTTCAGTCCAGTCTAAATATACATGAGTTAACTATATCACTTTAGGAGTGACTCAAATCTGGCAAGCCTGCTTTGAATATCCAATACAAAATTACATTTGTAGAGCGCCTTTCACATTGACAAGACATCGCAAGGTGTTGGACAGTCAGGGCTTTGGACTCAAGCTGGGGGTCAGGATTATGGTGATATAGTTAACTATATCACTTTAGGAGTGACTCAAATCTGGCAAGCCTGCTTTGAATATCCAATACAAAATTATATTTGTAGAGCGCCTTTCACATTGACAAGACATCGCAAGGTGTTGGACAGTCAGGGCTTTGGACTCAAGCTGGGGGTCAGGATTATGGAGGGTGGAGGGCAGCCGAAGGCTCGGTCGAAGAGGAGGGTTTTGAGACGCTTCTTGAAGGAGGCAAGGGAGGGAACGAGACAAAGGAAATGTGGGATGGAGTTCCATAGGGTGGAGGCAAAAAGGCTGAAGGTCCAACGTCGGGCGGGGGACGTGGAGCAGGCCACAGCCTGTTGAGCAGAGGGAGTGGACAGGTTGTATATGGGGTCAGCAGGTCACAGAGGCAGGGAGGAGCAAGGCCGTGGAGGGCCTTGAAGGCGAGGACAAGGATTTGAATTCTATCCTCTGAGGGAATATGATGGATAACTCACCATGACACTTTGTCAAGATTTGGAATGTAGCATCTGATTTGGTATTATTGATACAGGGGTACAACCCTACACTTTTATTATCATGCAGCCTACTGCTGTTGAAGAACCATGTAACAGCTGCATCAGCGCAAGAACAATATATTCAAAAACAACAATAAGTGTTCATATAAGAGCTCTTTATAAGGACGGTTGGCATGCCGAGCAGGTGAGAGGGGAAATAGGGAAGGGAGAGGTGACCATAAGCAAGTTTGAAGAGGTATGTTTTAAGGCCAAATTTAAAGGCTGATAGAAAGCAACAAATGCAATGACACATTGCCTTGGGATGCCTTGGGACGTCCTCCCGATGTGAAAGGTGCTCTATAAATGTAATTTTGTTGTTGTTGCATATCATTAGTATTCAGTGAAACATTATCTTCGAAAGACTATTGTCCCACAGAGCCAACCTGCACAGTCGACCTCCACTTCTGTTCTTAAACAAAGATGGACCTTTGATCAGGTGATCAATGATGCCACATACTATACATGCCACAGAAAGTGACACCATCAGTGACCCGACGACCTGGACGTTGGACAATTTTCTGTTAGCCGGAATACAAAATGGGTGACTTCCTGATCATCAGGTTGCTGGTGACATCACTTCCAGTGTGTTGCACATCACAGTGCACGGGAAGCGACAGCGCCAGCAACCTGATGCCATGGAGGGCAGACTTTTTTTTTAGCACAGCAGCTGGTGGGGTTCACACCCAAGCATTATAGTGTTCAAATCCATTTACTCCCTGGCACCTCTCTACCTCTCCGACCTCCTCTCTCCTCAATCTGCTTGACTGGCACTGGTCTCCTGCTCGTACCTCGCACCCACCGCCCCACCATCGGAGGTCGCGCTTTTAGCCACTATGTCCCAAAACTCTGGAATACTTGCCCTCAATCCCTCCGCCTTGCCTCCTCCCTCCCCTTTTTCAAGTCCTGCATAAAAAGATTTCCTCTTCGACTGTGCTTACGGTCTCCTTCCCCCTGGCTTGGAGTCAGGCTCCACCACTGTTAAGCACTCTGAGGCGCTACCCTGTGTGGAGCTCGCTATGTAAGTGGAAGTTGTTGTTATTGTACAAGAAAATCCATTGTAAACAACTTGATTTTACTGTCATATGATCTGCATTGATGTTTGGATCGAAGGAGTTAACATTGTGCACAAACAAAGCAGCAGTATGACATTTGATGGTATCTTTCACTGTGAAAGAGCTGCCAAAAATAATTGATTCCTTGGATAAGCTTTCCCGAGAAGGTTTTATCAAATCGCCTTTTTTTTAATCGGACTGTATTATGCAAAATGTTCCAATCCTTCAGGAACTAATCCCAAAGATTAAAAGCAAACAAATCTCCTCTATCTTGGCATTATATATACATATCAAAGCATTTTTCAATGACATTTTATTCTGCTGGAATAAATGTTTTGATGGTCAAGGAGAATAGCATAGTGCTAGTTTAATACTATCACATCCATTTGAATACACAGCCCACTGGAGACAAAGGCAGAAAACCCAAATAAATGGTTCCAGACACACAGACTGTAACCTGTTCATTAGCTTCACTAGGTAAATTGCTCCTCTCATGATGTGCAGTAGGCATGAAAGTTTATCTGGGAATGAAGATCTGTAGGAGCAAGCTGTTGGGAGCGAGTGTAACTATACTTGTGAATGAGTCCCAGTTTTCTGTTTGTCGCAATGTTTCTTTCTGCATTTCCATTTATCACTTCCCGTCTCCACTCCCCTCTCAATGCCTATCCCATTTCCATGTGGGTTTATTCTGTCTGTGTGTTCCAATCTCCCTTTGTATCTGTCATTTCTGTTTTGTTTTTCTCTTGCCAGTCTTTCTCTATGAGTTTTTGCATGTCTGTTTCCTGGAAGCTGTTTCACATTCGGTTGACCTTTCCCATCTCTTTTTCCCTCACAATCTCATTTTTCCCTCTTTAGCACTCAGTCGCTCACACTACATGTCTTGTGTGTCATATTCTCTCTTTTGTTTTTTTAGCTCTGTTACCTCTCACTATCAAACACATCCACACTTGTTTCCCCCACTTTCTCCCTCTCTTCCCTCACTCACACTTGTTCCTTGTCATACGGCCTCCTGATATAGCAACGGTGGGGGAATGGGGGGATGTGACATCCTTCTGCAGGAGTGGATGTGTCTATCCCCAGCCAGATACTTATTTGATTCTTTTTTGAAGGATTTAATCAGCACAGCATTCGCTATATTTGTTGGGAATCTGTTCCACAAATCCACTACTCTGTAGGGAAATAAAATCTTTTAATCTTCAGTCTCACTACAGGTAGCTAAAGCTATTTTTAAATCTGAAACATCACTGTAATGCTTAACCAAAATATTAATCTTTGCATTTGATATAACACCTTATCATGTCACTGAAAAGTCTCAAAGCGCTTCACAGGATGTACTATTAAGTGGTGTCACTGCATAATGTGGGTGAACACAGCAGCCAATTTGTGTACAGCAATGTCCCACATCAGCCATGGAGTGAATGATCAGTTATATTTGCGGGATTTGGGGCTAGGACAACTGGAGAAATTATTTCATTCCATTTAACTTTCTCCTATCAGGCTCTCCGCACCCTGAACTAGCACTGAGTGAGATTGCAGCCTCTACCTAGACATGGCTAGTGCTACTCTGTAATTCAACAATTTTCATTTATATAGCATCCTTCATGCAGGGAGGCATCTCCAGATTGCTACACAGTGGAGAGGTTGGTCGCTGAGCAAGGGAGAAGCAGATGGGGAATTAATTTTAAGGGGAGGGTGTGAGCAAGAGTTCAATTCTCCCTTGTGATTTTTCTCCCTCCATTAGCGGAAGTGTCTCCAACAGCTCCATCTGGAATCAGGAACTCACTGAATGAGAAATCAAAAGTTAGAATGGCAGATTTGATTCTAAGAAGCATAAGCATACCTTCTTACAACAACAACAACAACAACAAGATTCCATTTATAAAGCGCCTTTCACGTCAGGAGGATGTCCCAAGGCGCTGCACAGTTGGGTCATGACCCGAGCAGGGGGGAAATGGTCAGCGTGAGGGGAGGGAAGGGAGGGAGCGAGGAGGGGGGAAATGGTCAGGGTGAGGGGAGGGAAGGGAGGGAGCGAGGAGGGGGAAGAGAGTCGAGAGGGGAGCTGAAGGCACGGTCGGCGTTTTGTTCGACCCTGAGCTGTCCTTTCTCCCTCACATCCGCACCACAACTGGCACCGCCTTCCATCACCTCCGGAACATCGCCAGACTACGGCATTACCTCACCCCTCACGCTGCTGAAACCCTAGTTCACGCCTTTGTCACCTCAAGGCTGGACTATGGGAACTCTCTTCTCGCCGGCCTTCCCGCCACCTCCCTCCACAAGCTGCAGGTCATTCAGAACTCTGCAGCTCGGGTACTGTCCCGCACCAGGCTTCGGGACCACATCACTCCCACTCTCGCTCGCCTCCACTGGCTCCCCATCCCCCAGAGGATTGATTTCAAGATCCTCATCCTCACCTACAAGGCCATTCACGGCCTTGCTCCTTTCTACCTCTCCAACCTACTATCCCCCTACCTACCTGCCCGTACCCTCCGTTCCTCTGGCTCCGGTCTGCTCCACGTCCCCCACCCCAACCGCCCTACCATCGGTGGTCGGGCCTTCAGCCTCTCAGCCCCCAGGCTCTGGAACTCCATCCCCCAGTGCCTTCGCCTTGCTTCCTCCCTCTCCTCCTTCAAGGCCGGTCTCAAAACCTTTCTCTTTGACCGTGCCTTCAGCTCCCCTCTCGACTCTCTTTCCCCTCCTCGCTCCCTCCCTTCCCTCCCCTCACCCTGACCATTTCCCCCCTCCTCGCTCCCTCCCTTCCCTCCCCTCACCCTGACCATTTCCCCCCTGCTCGGGTCATGACCCAACTGTGCAGCGCCTTGGGACGTCC